ATTTCTGGTTGGGAGTTCATTGTGATTCTGGCTGTGATCGTCGTCYTGACTGCGACGTTAAATAATTCCCGAAGAGATGGGGGCGCTCTATAAATTCCTCCTGATCAGCCAGATCACATGGGCAGGAAGGCTCGTCGCCGTACGAGGGTAAATAAGAGTGGTTGGGCTGGCTTGCTCGGTGACAACTTGGGCACAGGGGTGGGCCGATTCACACATGAAGACACTGCTCGCTCAATGATGTTGTTCGGTATGTTGGATGAAGGGGAGGGTAGGTTCTAATTGGTGCTCAACTGTATACACAACCATACCCATCAATTATACATCTGCTATATTGTCTTTTTGTACCTTTGATTAGTTGGTGGACATACTGCTAACACCTCACAAACAGATTAGTGTAGGACTGTTGTATGCTACCATAGCCAGTTCTAACTAACGCTGCTGTAAGTGAACAAGTCAAAGTGCATTTAGACTATGTAGACAAWCTGTGTGAATGTTGTAGACATGCCACTTGATCGGTACAGTAGGGGAACTGCCGGACACAACCATTATTAGAAAATTAGGTGCCGGTCAGACACATGCTGTGGTAGGATTCCATTAGGGAGTTCTAGTGCAAACAATGTTTGCCTAATTCATGAACGGGTCAGACGTCGACGAGGAGGGAGTTGACGATAATAGACTTACACGTGCAAGATCAAGAAGGATCCCGTACGTGTTCAGGACTCTAGACGAGGGAGAAGAAAGACGGCTTCGTGTCGAACGTAGAGCCCGTGCTCTCGCAGCATCGAGAGAAGCAGCAAACCTTGCAGCTAGGGAGCAGGCTGCCGCAACAGCCACGACAACAAGAATGGCTACCGCAGCAGCAACCTCTGCTGCAACTACGGTTGCGTCCTCGTCAGGAACCCGGTTGGGAATGCCAACGGGGCCCCCGGGTATCTCCACTTTACTAGGGTCTAGGCCGTCTACAAGTCAAATGACGGGCGTGCAGTTCAGCCCGTTGACTCCTCGCGAGAGGGAGCTCAGGGAGCTTTAACATGTCGAAAGGATCCGTGAAAGATTAGAGAGGGAAYTGAAACAGGCTACCGACAGAGAAAAGGAGATCAAAAATAGAACAGCCAGGCTTGATACTCTAGAGATTGACAAGGCTGAGTTGGAGGGCTTGGACGATTCAGGAATGAACGAGCCCATGAAAGTGTTGAGGAACAGCATGCTGCCACTACATGCGCATGTGGACAGCAGGTTGGACTTCATGCAGAACACTTTAGACCAGATCTTGGACGCTTTGA